ATTAGTAACCAGAAAACCTATAGACGGTCGCTATGAGTCAGAACGGACTCGACGGCACTTCACAACAGCACAATACAACCGTATGGGACAGACGTTATGTCATGCATGATTGTATTAACATTGGGGAAAATCTAGGATTTTGATCAATAGTGAAGATGTATCAGTCAAGAAGATATAACAGAAACTAACTTGATTTTACAGTTTCAACACGGTTAGTTAACATATGGGCAATCCATTAGACTGCAAATAAAAAATACTAGCGTGACTCATATGGCTGAAATTGAATTTCTCGCACATTGCAGGAATTGAGAGAAAAGGTAGAAAAAACGTTAAGGCAAGGATCTCACGGAAGGGAGGATAGAGATAATGAGTACCATCTTCATCAACTCTTAGCTTTCCCAAATTCTCTTTTCACTGTTCATTCATCCTCTCAAACTTTTCTTCCAAAACTTTTCCAGCCCGAATGTACTCCATGATTGCGTACCAAAAGTTCTAACAAAAGCATCTCAGTAGCAACTACCTCCCCTTGTGCTCTTAGTGCGCAGAAACTCCCTGACACCTTCGCCCTCCCCATCTAGCCTCTGCTTACTTTAATAGGTTTAATACTTGCCCTAGGGGAAAGCGCTGCGGCCACGTTCGCTGGCCACCTTCTCTTGGCTCAAGGGGACGATGCCCCCTTAGAGGCCTGGTTCGGAGCTGTGGCAGGAGGCGGCGCGAAGTTCCAGCAGGGCGCTCTCGGCTTCACCGCCGCAATTGGGCCCTAGGCACTAGCCCCCTCCAGGACTCACGCGGGTTCCTGCAAGGCTCTGTCCAGCTGCAGACGCCCAATTGAGTGCCCAAGCCTGTCAAGATCTGGGCGGAGCGTGCGGCGCCGAGATTTTGCGTCACCATTTGACGCCATCAGCCCCGCACCTGCCAACATGGAAGGTGGCGACAGTGGCGTCGCTCTGGCTGGCCTTGGGGCTCTGGGTCCGGGAGCGGCTGCAGCGACCGTCCGGGAGCTTCTGCAGGACGGTAAGGAGTCAGGATCCGGCTGGATCATGGGCCTGGAGGGCTGCGCGGCTTCGCACTTGGGGCAGGGTAACGGACTCAGCCCGTTGCTTTGCAGAAACTTTTCCGGTTTCGACTTACACTCTCTTGGCATCCGGGTGCTGACCTCGCCTACCTGTTTCCCTAGTGACATAATGCCCCCTTCCTTCCGGATGTTTTGGGGACACCTGGTTTCTCTTTGCCTCTCATTTCAACTGCCCCCGGCCATCCACGTGTCTGGAGCTTCTCTGAAGTTCTGAGACCCTGAACCCGGTTGCCCACTTTGGCAGCCACTGGCTTCTGCCGCAGTTCTTAACCAGAAGGGGAAGCTTTAGAGTCCCTGAACAGATGATAGACGCGTAATGAATGAAGTCTCTTTTTAAGTAGAGTTGGAAACGCCCCTCTGTTAACAAATTCTTAGACACACAGGTGGCCACTCTTTTGGTCTTGTTTGTTTTTTTTTGAAGACGATTATCCACAACCAGACATTGAAGAGCAGTGGTGTCATTAGGGTTGGTGTCACCCAGTGCTGTCACTCATGGTGTCACGCTGACCCCCACCTCCCGAACATCCTCCCATATAAACCATACAGAATCCTTAGTAATATTTATTAACAGTTTTTAAAAACCTTATAATTATTATAGTAATTTGAGTGAAGATTTACAGAAGAAAATTGGTTTCCCATTCAACATTTCGAACGTATTTTGTTTGCTGCACTCACTTCTTTCCTGCGTTTACCATTTCTATTTGTTCTTCTTTCCTATCCATTCCTGAATTCTGAGGTTTATATCCCAAGGTATATGCTGCCCTTCTGATTTTATATGGTTGCTTGTTTTAAGGAGTGCTTACCTTTCTGGTGTTCACCATAAAACCAATCATTTGCCTGAAAGTTGAGCCACGTAGGTGAGCTCAGGCCCAGTCCTGAAGAATGACCAAGGGCCATAGTCTTAGGGGTTCCACCAATCTCCTTCAGGAGATTTTGAGTTTTGTTCCACATTTTCCTTCCACTTTATCCAGGACGCTCTATTGTGATCCCTTTCAGAGTGATCACTATCAAGTTCTGGTCACTGGGTTGTGGAGGCTAGGGTTCATGTGGTCCATTACTCCTTTGGACTAGTTGTTTCCAGGCATCTTTGCTATTCTTCATCCTTCTTTGCTCCAGAAAAGGAGAAACAAATAATTGCACCTTAAATGGCTACATATTGATTGCATGTTTGATCAGTTTCAATCTGAAGAGGTTGTTTTCTTTAAGGGAGCAGAAAGCAGAACAGCTGGTAGTTTCCACTGGGGAAAGATGAGTCTTTCTGCTCTGGTAAAGATTTACAGCCTCGGAAACCCTGTACAGGGTCACTATGAGTTGGAACCGACTCCACAGCACTTAACAACAACAACAACAACAACAATACCTTAGTAAATCATATGACTGATGCAAAATGGCAATACCAGTCTATTTCTCTGCTTATATGGATGTTATTTATTAGAATCTGTCAAATGTGAGCTTCTATTTCTTGCCTTCAAACTTATAAATTTAATTTAAATTTAGAGCCACCCTTTTTTCCTTTCCACTCCCTACTCTAATGTTTTCAGTTATAGTGGTACTGGAAGTAGAATCTGTTCTCTGTTCTGTGTCCAGTCCTTCCTCTTATGCTCTGGATTTTTCTTTTCTTTCCTCAGGAACCCCCCACCCCCCCAATTCTACGTCATTGAAAAAGTTTTACCAATGTCTTCAGTGGCTTCCTTGTGGATAACTCAAATGAGCACTTTTGGTCCTTGTTTTCTTTGAACTCCTAAGAGTCATAAGAGTGTTTGGCTCCTCCTTTCCTGAAGTAACTCCTTCACATGTCTTACTGGCTCCTTTAGTCATAGTTCTCTAGGTGCGCTTTTCCAGTTTCTTTTAGATGCTTGTCTTTTTCAGTTTTTCCATAATTAGGTGGCTCACATTCCTCCACAGCAAATCCTGATTAATTAAACATTCCCGTTATTGTTAAGTACCATTGAGTCAATTCTGAGTCAATTCTGACCGATAGTGACCCTGTATAGATAGGGTTTCCAAGGAGTGAGTGGCTGGTAGGTTTGAACCACTGATATTTTGGCTAACAGTCCAATGTTCATCCTACAGCACCACAGTAGGACTCCATTTCCATTTGTTATTGTTGTTGTTAAGGGCCATTGAGACATTTCTGACTCATAGCGACCCTGCATAGAATTTCTGAGGAGTGGCTAATGAGTTTGAACTGCCAACTTTGTGGTTCAAACCGACCTTGTGGTCCAGTGCATTATCCCACGTTGCCACACTAGGACTCGGTTCCCATTAGTAACAATGAATTCTGTATGTCAAGGATTTGCCACTGGCAAAGATACGATTGGTGGATTGGCTAGTGTCTTAGTATCTGTCGTTGTTGGGTGTCATCAAATTGGTACCGACTCATAATGACCCTGTGCACAAGACAGAATACTGCTTGGTCCTGTGTGGACCTCGCAATAGTTGCTACCCTTGAACCCATTGCTGCCACTGTGCCAATCCATCTTGTTGGGGTTTTCCTCTTGTTCTCCAACCCTCCACTCTACCAAGCATGCTTTTCTTCTGAATGGACTGGTCTTGATAATATAGCCGAAGTATGAGAGATGAAGTCGGTCATCCTGGCTTCCGAGGAGCATTCTGGCTTTATTGCATCCAATACAGATTGGTTTTTCTTTTGGCAGTCCATGGTACTTTTAATATATTGTCCAACACTGTAATGCAAATGCATCAATTCTTTTACGGCCTTCCTTATTCACTGTGGAGATTTCACATGCATATGAGGTTATTGAGAATACCATGGCTTGGGTCAGGCACACCTTAGTCCTCAAACTGACATCTTTGCTCTTGAATACTTTAAAGAAGTCTTGTACAGCAGATTTGCCTAATGCAATATGTCATTTGATTTCTTGACTAGTGCTTTCATGAGTGTTAATCGTTGATCCAAGAAAAAGAAAGTCTTTGACAATCTCAATTTTTTTTCCATTTACCTTGATGTTATTTATTGGTCCAGTGGTGAGGATTTTTTCTTTTCTTTACATTGAGGTGCAGCTAATGGCTGTGGCCTTTGATCTTCATCAGTAAGTATTTTAAGTCATCTTCGCTTTCAGCAAGCAAGATTGTATCATCTCCACATCACAGTTTGTTAATGAGTCTTCCTCCAATTCTAATGCCACGTTCTTCCTATAATCCAGTGTCTCGGATTATGTGCTCAGCATGCAGATTAAATAAGTATGGTGAAGGAATACAACCCTGTCACACACTTTTCGTAATTTTGAACCATTCAGTGTTCCCTTGTTCTTGGTCTATGTACAGGTTCCTCATGAGCATAATTAAGTGTTCTGGAATACTCATTCTCTGCAATGTTATCTATAGCTTGTGATGATCCACACTATCAAAAGGCTTTGCACATTCAATAAAACACAGGCAAGCATCTTTCTGGTATTGTCTGCATTCAGCCAAGATCCATTTGATGCCGGCAATGATATCCCTTGTTACACGTCTTCGTCTGGATCCGGCTTAGATCTCTGATAGTTCCCTGTAAATGTGCTATTGAAGTCTTTAAAAAAGTTTTGTCAAATGCCTTTTCTGCATCGATTGATATGATCTTGTGGTTCCTTTCCTTTTTCTTAAACATGGTGAATTACATGGATTGTTTTTCTAATGGTGAACCATCCTTGCATCCCTGTTATAAAACCCACTTGGTCAGGATGTATTATTTTTTTGATGTGCTGTTGGATTCTGTTGGCTAGGATTTTGCTGAGAATTTTTGCATCTATTCTCATGAGGGATATTGATTTATAATTTCTTTCTTAGTGATATCCTTCCCTGGTTTTGGTATGAGGGTTATGCTTGCTTCATAAAATGTATTAGGAAGTTTTCCATCCTCTTCTATATTCTGGAATAATTTGAATAGAATTGGTAACAGCTCTTCCCTGAATGTTTTGTAGAACTCACCAGTGAGGCCATCTGGGCCTGTCCTTCTTTTGGTTTGATTGTAACTTCATTTTCATGGTAAGTTGTGAAGTATTAACTTTCTTTGGGGTTTCCCTATAGACTATTAATCCCCTCCCACCCGCATTTAAGACAGTCTATTGTATCCTGTAATCTACCTGACCTCCTTACCACCTGGATCTCTGTTCCTATGTTTTTCCCTTTTTTGACACTGTTAATATTTTGATCTTTGGTTGACCTCACAGGTACTATGAATTCATTGTTGTAGTTTTAGTCTGTTCCGAACTCTGCTATCTCACAACTGAGATTCAGGTGGTGTTGCCACGATTTTCAATCTTTGGTTATTGTCTGTTCTTGCTGGTTTCCATTCCAAAGAACTCCCTTTAGGATGTTTTGAAGTGCTGGATTGGCATTGACAAAATCT